AAATGCGCTTTACACAATTGATGTGTGTATGGATTGGGATAACAGTTGTATGAGCCCCTAATAAAATGTTAAAAAAACAAACAAAAAAAGACTAATTCTGTTTCAAGAAATTGAAGGGATCGAGCTCAACTGGGATGTCTTAAATATATCAAAAGTTCTATTTATCAATTTAGGTTCCAGCGTCACAAAAGGAGTTGGTTCTTTTATATAACAGAAGCTAGTTTAACACAGGTTACTTTCTATATTTATAAATACATACAAATATTCTGATAGTCCCTTCAAAAGCTAAGTTTATTTTTGGCCAAAATTTATTTGCAACATTTAAGGAGATACAGTCATCACCTGAACATCACAAGATGCTCATTTATAGTACATTTAGAGGGATTCTGACTACATAAAATTACTTAATTTGGCACAAATTTTAAATGTAAACTTCCTTTAACATTGGAACATTCTCAACGCAGAATTAAGTGAATAATAAAACAATGTAAAAAGTTCATGAATTGTAATGGATTACAGTAATGACAAAACACAGTAAGTTTTTGTGATGAAAAATCCAACAATAAAAGACAACTCCTTTATGAGCTTCCTTTTTTTTTTTTAACCTTGGCAGTCATTTCTGCCAGAATGTTTGATATTCACAGTTGTGGGAGAAAGTGCTCTCTTGAGCTTTACAAAATCAAAATCAAAACTATCTCATGATAGGTTCATGAGAAAAAGAGAGTAAACAGCCTATTCAAAAATCAATCCAACTCTGTAACCAAAGCCCTAACTAAAACAGTAGCAACTCTACATAAAAAAAAAAAAAATCTAGCACAGTTAATCCCTCAATCATCTGTACCCAGCATTTTGGTCTTTAATCCTTCCAAGCCTAAACTCTGGAATAGTGTTTGGTCTTACATGAAAGTTTGCTATGATCTAATCCAATCATATTTCCCACAACTTCCTTAATGATTCCTACTATTCTGGTTACTTGATTCATATCCTGCTCCTATAATACACAAATTGAACTATGCAGCCTCTGAGCCTTATCATTTTGGTTGAAATGCCTCACTTTTAAGCTGTTCTCACAAAATATATTTTTAAAAATCTATTCATTTTTTTAAGGCCCAACTGAATATCACTTCACCAACAATGCCTTTCAGGATTACTTGGTATGTGCATGTCCTCCCTCTTAAAACTTCTAAATTCTTAATCTGATGCTCACCTTCCCGACAGGATCGCTGAAGACAAATGGGTGCATAAGCAAGTGTGAAGAAAGCTGATGGTGCTCTGCTATCAAAAGATATAGTGTCTGGGGTCTTAAAGGCTTGAAGATAAACAAGCGGCCACCTAGTTGAGAAGCAGCAAAGCTCACATGGAAGAAGCATACCAGCCTGTGTGATCATCAGGTGTCCATGGGATCAGGTGTCAGGCATCTAAGACCCAGAGCAAAATCATACCCAATGTGAAGGAGGTGGGGGAGGGAAATGGAGTAGAGAACCAATGCCCATTTGTAGACAATTGGACGTGCCCTCACAGAGGGGTCATAGGGAAGAGATGAGCCAGTCAGGGTGCAGTATAGCACTAATGAAACACACAACTTTCCTCTAGCTCTTTGGTGCTTACTTTACCCCACTATCATGACCTCAATTCTACCTTACAAATTGTATTAGACCAGAATATGCGCACTGCTACAGATAAGAGCCCTAAATACAGGGCATCCAGGATAGATAAACCCCCTCACGGCCAACAATGAGAGTAGAGCTACCAGGAGGATTAGGGGAGGGAAGGGGGGGGAAAGGGGGAAATCAATCACAAGGATCAACTTATAGCCCCCTCTCCCAGGGGGATTAACAACAGAAAAGTGAGTGAGATATTAAAATAATAATCTATAACTTATCAAGGGTTCATGAGGGAGGGCAGGCAGGGATGGGAGGGGGAAGAAGTAGGGCGCTGATATTAGAGGCTCAAGTGGAAAGATAATGCTTTGAAAATGATGGCAGCATATGTGCAAATGTGCTTGACACACTGGATGAATGTAAGGATTGTGATGAGAAGTAAGAGGCCTCAATGAAAGTATTTAAAAAAAAAAAAAAAAGAAGAGATGAAGAAAAAACAAGGGAGATACCATCAGCCATCTAAAGAGATCAGTTGGAAAAATGTTCCAAGAATGGAATCACATATTTAACAAATGTATTACTTAGCCGGACTAAGACACTCTGCAAATGGTTTTGGAGAGTACATTGAAGGTGATAAGGCTGTTTTGTAAAAAAAATTTTAAATACATAGCTTTGAAAAAAGAAATAAATATTCTAGGTTTTTTTGGGTGCCCCCCCATGGAAAAAAAATTCTTGTATCAGTTATTCTCATTATGCATTCACTCCTCTTGGGCTTCACAGCTGGGAGATCCAACAGAA